GGGAGGCCGAGGCGAGTGGATTGTCTGAGCCCACGGATTCGAGACCAGCCTGGGCAACTTGGCGAGACCTTGTCGCTACAATAAAAATAAAAAATTAGCTGGGCATGGTAGCATGCACCTGTAGTTCCAGCTACTTGGAAGGCTGAAGCGGACGGTTCACCAGAGCCCAGGAGGTCGACACTGGGGTGGCCGTGAGCACGCCACTGCACTCCAGTCTGGGCGACAGAGTGAGACTCCAACTCAAAAAAAAAAATTTTTTTTTTAATTAAAAATAAATGGTTGAAAAAGCAAAAGAATAATATCTTGTGACAGATCCCTGAATTCACGTTGTCATTGTCTAGGCATAAGGTCTGGTTGGAACACAGCCACGACCATCTGTTTCAGGTTGTCCGTGGCCACTTTTGGCATAGCCGGGAGTCCTGGGCCCATGGGGTGCACTCTCTGGCCCTTTAAGAAAATGTCCTGACGCCCTCTCAGATGGAGAGATGGAGTGTGTCACATGCCCAGAAGATGTGTCTACTGAGGAAGGGGCTAGCCAATGGGGTTGGGAGACCATGGGCAGGAAGCGTCCAGACCCTTCCAGCGACACTGAAGGGCAGAGGGGAGACCACTGCAGGTGGGCTGCTCGTCCATGCTTGGACAGGGCATGGACACGGTGGGGGCAGGCCTGTGACCCAGTCAGTAGGATTCAGACAGGATTAACAGGCTTCAGCAAGCCCATCCTCCAGCGTCCCTGCTGGACTGGTGGCAGTGGTTTTACCTGAGGTTCATGTTGTCCTGCAGCCACCCAGGGCCAGCCCCAGCCGCGGTGCATTGCTTGCCCCCTCCTGTCTCTGCAGAGTTCGCCTTCTGCCAGGTGGATGCCTCCGTCGCCTTGCCTCTGGCCCTGGCCATCCTGTGTGACCTGCTCCAGCAGTGGGACCAGCTGGCCCCCGGACTGCCCGTGCTGTTGGGCTGGCTGCTGGAAGAGGGGGCTGACCCTGCTGTCTGTGTGGAGAGCACACAGCAGGTAATCCCAGGGTGTTAGGGCAGCGGGAGGCGGGCCAGGTGTCCTAAGCCCTCTGGCTGCAGCACTTACAGGCTTAGTCGGGTCACCGTGCCTGTGGGAGGGTGCTTCTGGGTGCCCAGATGCAGGCGGGACCCAGCAAGAAGGCCACCACTGTACGCTCTGTGGGCACGGGGGCTGCACTCTCGCTGACTTTCAGGGTTCCCGTGGCAAGCACAGATCAGTCTGGGAGAGACTGAAAGAAGCCCTTTGGGCCGGGCTCGGTGGCTCAGCCTGTAATCCCAGCACTTTGGGAGGCCGAGGCGAGGGGATTGCC